TTCCCACCTACTCCTCTGGGACCCCTTCTGTCTCAGTGATACGAGCGAAGCCATCGTCAAAATACCCTCCTCTCCCCCTCCCCCTCTGGTACCCTTGTGTCTCAGTGATACTAGCGAAGCCATCGTCAACCCCCCTCCCCACCTACCTCTCTGGGACCCTTCTGTCTCAGTAATACGAGCGAAGCCATCGTCAAAATACCCCCCTCCCCACCTCCCCCTCTACTCGTGCCTAGAGGTAAACTAATATATATTTAATCATTATCATATATCACGTTATTGCACCCAATGCAGCTGACAAGAGTTGAAGAAAGAACATCTATTATCTGACATAGAAACCGAAATAAACAACCTACTAATGTACATAACGCTCCTAAATTATCAGTGTAAATACACTTTTTTTGTACCTTTGCATTCGTGTAATGCACATTGTTTTCGTGATACGAATAGCAAAATGTAAACTTTACTGACTCACATGTACAGTAGATACCAGATGGTAAGATTCACGATACGACCAAAATGTTATGTCATTTGATTAATAAATCAAGTCATTCATTGAATGCTATATAAAAAAAGAAACATGCATCGAAGCAAAAAGTATTAACCAGGATATATAAAATTGTTTCGGGTGTTGATGGAGTAACTAAAATTGCACATAAGTGGAAGTGTTTCCTGCTAATATTACCCATGATAAATAATAAAAATAATAATACACATTAATTGAACTTGCCCCCTTAAATATAGTACAAAAATGAATTGTAGATAATAAAGTAGCTAGTTACGAAATAATGTAGACACTTACGGTATGAAGGTAGGAACGTGGAGCGTTCTCTTCCCGATTTGACAGTCATTGTGATAAACATTGGGTATTGGGTAATACGACTAGAGTTGGGTCAAATTACACCAGTCATAGATTATACCCATCCTTCCGGCGAAGATATGAGAAAAATTAAGAGGAATCACAAGGATTTTTTTCAGAATAGATTTTATTCATTGTGTGTTTGCAATCCACGCTTGTTTGGTCCTTAGTTATTTATCTATTATTTTCTTTAGTCGGTCACCATTTCGGATTCATTAGTGTAAGAGATGAAAGAACATGAAGTGCTTACTGAACCCATAAACAAGACAGACTCTGATATATAACTAATTGAGACAACCTAGGAATGTCCTGCTATCGCAATTGTGTGTTATATGAATCATGGGTCTGAAATTCGGATGCACCGGAAAAAACATATCCGCATTACAATCT